TGCCACATACCAGGCTAATTTTTTTACAGAGACAGGATTTTGCCATGTTTCCTGGCTTGGTCTTGAACTTCCCAGCTCAAGCAACCTGCCTGCCTTGACCTCCTGAGTAGCTGGGATTACAGGTGCACGGCATCATGCCTGGCTAATTTTTTTTTTTTTTTTCTGTCTCCCAGGCTGGAGTGCAGTGGTGCAATCTGGGTTTACTGTAACCTCCGCCTCCCAGGTTCGAGTAGTTCTTGTGCCTCAGCCTCCCCAGTAGCTGGGACTACAGACCTGGCTAATTTTTTGTGTACATATATATGTTTTTATAAGAGACAGGGTTTCGCCATGTTGGCCAGGCTGGTCTTGAACTCCTGAGCTCAGACAGTCCATCTGCCTCAGCCTCCCAAAGTGGTAGGATTACAGGCGTGAGCCACCGTGCCTAAACTAATTTTTATATTTTAGTAGAGTCGAGGTTTCATTATGTTGCCCAGGCTGGTCTTGAGTTGAGAGCCTCAAGCAATCCTCCTGCCTTAGTCTCCCAAAGTCTTGGGATTATAGGCTTGAGCCACAGCGCCCGGCCCAAAGCAGTTGTAAATGTATCTTTTCCCATTTTCCAATCTCAGCATGTCTTTCACCTGACAACAGATAGACATGTAGCCCTTGCTCTGAGAGGAATGGAGACTGGTTTGAAATTGAGCTGGGCGCGGTGGCTCACGCCTGTAATCCCAGCACTTTGGGAGGCTGAGGCGGGTGGATCACGAGGTCAAGAGATCGAGACCATCCTGGTCAACATGGTGAAACCCCGTCTCTACTAAAAATACAAAAATTCAGCTGGGCATGGTGGCATGTGCCTGAATCCCAGCGACTCAGGAGGCCGAGGCAGGAGAATTGCCTGAACCCAGGAGGTGGAGGTTGCGGTGAGCCGAGATTGTGCCATTGCACTCCAGCCTGGGTAACAAGAGCGAAACTCCTTCTCAAAAAAAAAAAAAAAACCCAGAAATTGAGCTCTGTGCATAGTGTTTGAATTCTGTGCTGTCTTGGGACCTTGGGCAATTTTAATTAATGTGTGAGTTACTATTTTATTATAGAAAAAAAATTCTGTTTTTTAACTCAAAGGGGTTATTGTCAAAGTTACGTGAGAATAAAAGAAGACCTTGGTATTCTGTAAACTATTGCATGTTATTGAAAATATTTCATTTTTCTTTCTTTGTTGAGTGGGGGAAAGTACCCTCCTGACACTAGAACTTGGTTTAATGGAGACCCTTAGTGGTCAGAGAATAATACAGTATATATAAACTAAAGGGCTAGATTGCGTACTTTGATAATTAAATAATGCTATTACTTAAAAGTAACTTTGATAGTTAAAGTGAACATAACTGGTTTTGGCTTCTTTGGTTTTTGGTTCTTTTCTTTCTTTTTTTTTTTTTTTTTTTAGACAGTCTCACTCTGTCACCCAGGTTGGAATGCAGTGGTGCAGTCTCAGCTCCCTGCAACCTCCACCTCCTGGGTTTAAGTAATTTTCATACCTCAGCCTCTTGAATAGCTGGAATTACAGGTGTGTGCTGCCATGCCCAGCTAATTTTTGTATTTTTTGTAGAGATGGAGTTTTGCCATGCTTGCCATGCCTAACTCCTGCCCTCAAGTGATTCATGAAATGTTTTGATACATGCATGCAATGTGTGATAATCACATCATGGAGAATGGAGTATCCCTTTAAGTATTTGTGTTACAAATAATCCATTTATTCTCTTAGTTATTTAAAGATGTACAGTCAAATTATTATTGATTATAGTCACCCTGTTGTGCTATCAAATAGTAGATCTTATTCTGGTTTTTTTTTTTGGTTAACCCCCCAACTTGCCACTACCCTTCCCAGCCTTTACTAAGCGTTTTTCTACTCTATCTCCATGAGCGTTCTGTAACTTCTTAAAGTCATTAGTGTACCTTGTAGATTTTTTTCATGTCAGTAAGAGATCTACCTTTTAAAATATCCTAATCTGTTCACTTTTTCTTATCTCCTATCACCACCCATTTATCAGCTACTGTTATCTGTCACTTGGACCATTTCAGTGGCCATCTAATTTGTTTCTTTGTTTCCAGCTTTTCCCTCTTATTCTCACATAGCAGCCACAGAGATATGTTTAAAACCTTAGATTATGTCACTTCTTTGCTGAAAACATGGCAGTGTTTCCTGTTCCAGTAAAATCCAAACTTTTACTTTTAGAATTAATGCTTTCTAAGGGCAGGGCTGTTTACCTGTTTTGATTACTGATTTTTCCCATGTGCCTAGAAAGTGTCTTGTGCATACTAGGTGCTTTGTACTAATGAATTAGCTTGTTGGCCTTGATATGTTATTCTGTGCCTGTTTATCTCATTTTATTCTCCTCTTTGCTTCCTACTCTGGTCTACCACATTAGCTTTATTCTGCTGCTTGGATTCTCCGACTTCATTCCCCCTAGGCTTTGCAGAAGCTGTTTTCTTTGCCTGGAATATCCTTTCCCCAGTTTTCTCACAGCTGAATCTTTCTTGTCTGTTCATATTTCAGTGTAAATGTTACTTGCTTAAAGAGATGTTCTCTGATCACCAAACTAGTTATCTCTTCACTCTCCATTATTCTGTTTAAAAATTTTTTAAATTTAGTTTAAAAAAATTAGTGATAAATCATGTGGTTCAAAATTAAGAAAATGCTACAAGATGTATAGTGAAAAATGCCTCTACCACTGTCATCTGTAAATCAAAGCAATACATATTAGTTTATTTTTTATTCTTTCAGAGGCTCTTTTAAATAAGTGTTTTTAAACCAGTCTTTAAGAACTACATAGCCAGTATCTCCTAATTTTTTCAGATAATACACTCTATGAAAATTAGGCCAAACCACTGTATATAAGCCACTTGAACTTCCTAGTCATCCTCTCTGCCAATTAATCTATCATCTAACCCTTCAGTTTTACCCCTTCTAGTTAGTTCCCCTTGCACTTTGCCCCCAGTGATTCTTGTTCAGAATGAGTGATATTACCACCCGTGCCCATGATCTGTCTCATTTCCATTTGCTCAATAACTTTGTTCTAGAAATTTTCTTTCTCTCTCTCTCTGTATGTGTTTTCTTTTGAGACAGGGTTTGCTCTGTTGCCCAGGCTGGAATACAGTGGCGCAATCATAGCTCACTGCAACCTTGAACTCCTGGTCTCAAGTGATTTTCCTGCCTCAACCTCTTAAGTAGCCAGGACTACGGATGCCACCATGACTGGCTGATTTTTAAATTTTAATATTTAGTAGGTTTGAGGTCTTGTTATGTTGCTCAGGCTGGTCTCAAACTCCTACTGGGCTCAAGCAGTCCTCCCACCTCAGCCTCCTAAAATGCTAGGATTACGGGTATGAGCCATTACTGGCCTGAGGTTATCTTCTTAACTCTGCTGTTTTCTTTGGCTTCAGCACAGCCTGGCATATAGTAGGTGCTTAGAAAATATTAGTTAAATATAGCAGAATGATGAGTTTGAAACTTTTGAGTTTTAGAGACTTGGGTATTCAACCTAGTTGTGTGACTTGGGCAAGAGAGGTAGCATCTGTAAGCCAGAATTTCTTTTTTTCTTTTCTTTTTTTTTTTTGAGATGGGGATTCACTCTGTAGTCTAGGCTAGAGTGCAGTGGTGCAGTCATGGCTCGCTTCAGCCTCAAACTCCCAGGCCCAAATGATTCTCCTCCTCAGCTTCCTAAGTAGCTGGGACTACAGGCACCTGCCACCATGCCTGGCTAATTTTTATATTTTTTTGTAGAAATGGATTTTCATCATGTTGCCCGTTCTGGTCTCAAACTCCTGGGTGTAAGTGATCCGCCTGCCTCAGCCTCCCAATGGTTGCATTGCCTTCTCTTTTACCTGCAATCTCCCTCTGCTTGTCTAAGAGTACTTGTGAGTGCATTTGTTACCCACCCAGGTAATCCCATGTAATCTTGCTTTAAAATCCTTAAGGTTTTTAAAAAAAAAAAAAATCCTTAAGGTTAATCATATCTGCAAACTCCCTTCTTCCATGTAAGATAACATTTATAGGTTCCAGGAATGGGGACCTGATATCTTTGCTGGCCATTATTCAGCTTATTCAGCCTGCTACTGGTATATAAAGCACACAGTTGGTGCCTGGCAAAAAAAAAAGAATTTACACTTTCTGGATAGGGTCAAGAAATATTAAAATTTTCAGAAAGATTTAATTGTACAATTAATGGAAACCACAGAATATGAGAAAAATGGGTCAAAAAAAGATAAGGTGGCCAGGCACAATGACCCACGCCTGTAATCCCAGCACTTTGGGACGCTGAGGTCAGAGGATCTCTTGAGCCCAGGAGTTTTGAGACCAGCCTGGGCAACATAAAGAGATGTCGTCTCTACCAAAAAAAAAAAAAAGCCAGGTGTGGTGACAATGGCCTGTAGTTCCAGCTACTTGGAAATGGGAGGATCACCTTAATCTGGGAAGTTGAGACCGTAGTGAGCCATGATCACACCACTGCACTGCAGCCTGGGTGACAGACTGAGACCCTGTTCCTCCTACCCCCCCAAAAAAAATGAGGTAAGGGAAATTAAGGATTACAGAATGTGACTTTATATGATACAGTGAATAAATGGGATAAGTGTATATTAAAGTGATTATTTTTTGTCAGATTTTGAATTTTTTTTTTTCCTGTTCAGATGTATGGGAGGATTTATTCATATTTTTAATGTTTATGGAGTAAATAGTGTACCCTGGAAAGAGGCGATGGTGGTGGTGGGAGGAATATATTGCATATGGTTACTGAAAATTGGATAATTACCTTCCTTGTTACCCTGCAGAAGTTAACATGTAAGCTATGTGAAATGATTAATGAATGAGATCCCAGAGTGGATATCATATATTTTCCTGAATGTTAGACAAGAATCACTTCATTTAGAATAAGAATAAAATAAAAGTACCCTTTAAATCAGTGGTTTCAGTTAGAGTATCATAAAAAGTCATACTGACAATTTAATTCTTTTTTCTATCTTCCTAACAGGTTCTTTGGCATGGACACAAGTTCAGTGGGAGGATTAGAATTGACTGATCAGACTCCTGTTTTATTAGGGAGTACGGCCATGGCAACTAGTCTCACGAATGTAGGAAACTCCTTTAGTGGTCCACCTAATCCTTTAGTGTCTAGATCTAATAAGTTTCAGAACTCATCAGTGGAAGATGATGATGATGTTGTTTTTATCGAACCTGTACAACCTCCCCCACCTTCTGTACCAGTGGTACCTGATCAAAGAACCATAACTTTTACATCATCAAAAAATGAAGAACTACAAGGAAATGATTCTAAAATTACTCCTTCCTCAAAAGAGTTGGCATCTCAGAAGGGAAGTGTAAGTGAGACAATTGTCATTGATGATGAAGAGGACATGGAAACAAATCAAGGGCAAGAGAAGAATTCCTCCAATTTTATTGAACGAAGACCTTCTGAGACTAAAAACAGAACCAATGATGTGGATTTCTCCACTTCCAGTTTTTCAAGAAGTAAGGTAAATGCAGGAATGGGTAATAGTGGTATCACCACAGAACCAGACTCTGAAATTCAGATTGCTAATGTTACAACTTTAGAAACAGGTGTAAGCTCTGTGAATGATGGCCAATTAGAAAATACTGACGGGAGAGATATGAACTTAATGATTACACATGTAACATCACTGCAGAATACCAACTTGGGAGATGTCTCTAACGGACTGCAGTCAAGTAGTTTTGGTGTTAATATACAAACATACACCCCATCTTTAACTTCACAGACCAAGACTGGAGTAGGACCTTTTAATCCTGGTAGAATGAATGTCGCAGGGGACGTATTTCAGAATGGAGAATCTGCAACTCATCATAATCCTGGTAAGCAGTAAGAAATATGCTACCTCATGTAAATGAATTAAGCTTTTGGCCTCTGCCTCTTTCCTTGTGGTTGCTGGTATTACCTTGTTTGGTTTCATCATGTGCAATATATTAATTATATTGACTTTTATCTTAAGTTTGGAATTTTAATAAGAATTGTAAAACCATATATAATATTTTTCTGTGGAGTACTAGAAAGTTAATTATAAAGTAATTTTATGTCTAAAGGGTTTAAGAAAAAAATATTCTTTACATTCATCACCAATGTCTGATAATTTGGCTGGGCACAGTGGCTGACCCCTGTAATCCCGACACTTTGGGGAGGCCAAGGTGGGTGGAGCCCAGGAGTTGGAGACCAGCCTAGGCAACATAGCGAGACCCACCCCCTATCTCTAAATTTCAAAAGCAAAAGAAACAAAGTGTGATAACTTAGTATCTTGTTTGTCATGTATTACTTTTTGCTAGTAGATTTTTACTAGTGTTTTAATATAGAGAGAACAAAAAGATTAATATAATAGCACACTTAAAGAACAGTGTAATGTTGTACAGAAGTTGCATTTAGATTTTTGTTTTAAAACAAAAGATTTTGTTTTAAAACAGAGACAGAGGCTTGCTCTGTCACCCAGGCTAGAGTGCAGTGGCGTAATCTTGGCTCACTGTAGCCTCCACCTCCTGCATTCAGGTGATTCTCCTGCTTCCGTCTTCCAAGTAGCTGGGATTACAGGCATCCACCACCACACATGGCTAGTTTTTATATTTTTAGTAGAGACGGAGTTTCACCATGTTGGCCAGGCCAGACTGGTCTCAAACTCCTGACCTCAGGTAATCCACCTGCCTCAGCTTCCCAAAGGTGTGGGATTACAGGCATGAGCCACTGCACCCGGCTGCATTTAGATTTATGTCTCCTTTCTTGTGTTTATTATATTAAATAAATAAATTAATTTTTTGAGACAGGGTCTCTCTGTCGCCTAGAGTATAGCGGCACAAACTCAGCTTGCTGCAACCATGACCTCTTGAGCTCAGGTGATTCTCCCACCACAACCTCCAGAGTAGCTAGGACTACAGGCGTGAGCCACCATGCCTGGCTAATTAAAAAAAAAAAAGTTATCTGTAGAGACAGAGTCTCACTATGTTGCCCAGGCTGATCTTAAACTCCTGGGTTCAAACAATCCTCCTGCCTTGGCCTTCTAAAGTGCTGGGATTCTAGGTGTGAGCCACCATGCCCAGCCATTTTATTTTTTATTAAGCGTTGGCCAAGTTTTTATTTTTCTCGTGTTTGAAGAAAGCCAAACATACAGTTCTTTTTTTTTTTTTTAAATCACTTTAAAGTATGATTGACTTGCAAAAGACTGTATATATATTTGATATATACAATTTGATGATTCCATGTTTATTTTTGACCGTGTATCTGATTTTAGCTTTCAGTTAGCATTTTATTACTCTAAAAATTTTTTTAAATTATTTTTATTTTTCAGAGGCATAAATATCAAGCAATATCTTTTTATGTTTGTGTTTATATTTATTTATTTTTTTAGAGACAGAGTCTAGCTCTATTGCCCAGCCAGGAGTGCAGTGGTGCAATCTTGGCTGACTGCAACCTCTGCCTCCCTAGTAACTGGAGTTATAAGTGTGCGCCATCATGCCCAGCTAATTTTTGTATTTTTAGTAGAGATGGGGTTTCACCATGTTGGCCAGGCTGGTCTCGAACTCCTGTCCTCAAGCGTCTGCCTGCCTTGGCCTCTTAAAGTTCTGGGATTATAGGTGTGAACCACTCTACGCAGCATCTCCCCCCAACCTTTTTTTTTTTTTTTTGAAAGTTGATAGATTTCTTTACTATTTGAAATTGTTTGCTATGAGCAGCTTTGTTCTGTGAAAACATTAAAATGTGGAAGTTGCCGGGTGTGGTGGCTCACGCCTGTAATCCCGGCACTTTGGGAGGCCGAGGCGGGTGGATCACGAGGTCAAGAGATCTAGACCATCCTGGTCAACACGGTGAAACCCCGTCTCTACTAAAAATACAAAAAAAAAATTAGCTGGGCATGGTGGCGCGTGCCTGTAATCCCAGCTACTCAGGAGGCTGAGGCAGGAGAATTGCCTGAACCCAGAAGGCGGAGGTTGCGGTGAGCCGAGATAGCGCCATTGCACTCCAGCCTGGGTAACAAGAGCGAAACTCCGTCTCAAAAAAAAAAAAAAAAAAACTAAAAAAACTAAAAATGTGGAAGTTATAAGAACTCTGTGCTAGCCTGGACAACCTGGTGAAGAAATATAAAATACCGAAAATACCAAAAGTTACCTAGGCATGGTGGTGTGCACCTGTGCTCCCAGCCACTTGGGAGGCTGAGGTTGCAGTGAGCCAAGATCACGAAGCTGTACTCCAGCCTGGGTGACAGAGTGAGACCTTGTCTCAAAAACAGAACTCTGTAACTTTTTCATGACACGTCTGTGGATGTCTGTTTCTTTCACGTCTCTTCCAATTCGTGTGTGTGTGTGTGTGTGTGTGTGTGTGTGTGTATCTGCCTGTCTCTCACATACCTCTTTCTGTGGGATTGTGGAGAATAATGTGAAGTGACTAAAATCTAGGCAGTGTAGAATGCTCTATGAATGCCAGTTATTTTTCTTATTTGTAATGTCTGATTATTGAAGACTGCTTGGAAAATCTATAGTTAAAAACAAGAGGTGGTACCAAGCATGGTGGGTCATGCATGTAATCCTAGCACTTTGGAAGACCAAGGCAGGAGGATCGCTTGAGCTCAGGAGTTTGAGACCAGCCTCTGGGCAAAAGAGCAAGACCTTGTCTCTACTAAAGATAAAAAAAACTGGCTAGGGCAGGTTGTAGTAGCTTAAATCTGTAATCCCAGAACTTTGGGAGGCCGAGGTAGATGGATCACCTGAGGTCAGGAGTTTGAGACCAGCCTGGCCAACATGGCCAAACCCTATCTCGATTAAAAATACAAAAATTAGGCATGGTGATACATGCCAGCTGCTTGGGAAGTTGAGGCACGAGAATTGTTTGAATTTGGGAGGTGGTTGTTGCAGTGAGAAGAGATTGCACTACTGCACTCCAGCTTGGGCAACAGAGTGAGACTCCTTCGCAAAAAAAAAAAAAAAAAACTAGCCAGGCTGAAGCCGGAAGGTAGTTTAAGTCTGGGAGATCAAGGCTGCAGTGAGCTGTAATTGCACCACTACATATAGCCTGGGCAGCAGAGTGAGACCATGTCTTAAAAAAAAAAGAAGAAAAGAAAATAAAGAGAGTGGAACCTGATGGTGTGCGGTGTGGAGCTGTTGAAGCGGGAGGGTTCCTTGAGGCCAGGAGTTGGAGACTTGTGCTGTGTGCTGGTGCTTGTTAACGGCCAGCACACTCCAGCCTGCGCAACACAGTGAGACCCACTCATAGTCCTTCTAAGTAAAGATGACCACTGTCAATGCTTGGAGTGGCTTTTTTTTTTTTTTTTGTATTTTGTTAACCTAGTGGAAATGCAGATCTGTGTAGTTTTGTTTTCTGTTTTTTCCTCCCTTAATATTGCACTGCATTTTCTTATACCATTAATATTTATATAAGTTTTAATGGCTCCAATGGGTATTGTATCATTCCCATATTTGGCTTTTACGTTGTTTTCCATATTTTGCTATTGTAGGTCTTTGATGAAATACTTGTTCACATTCCTGATTATTTCCTTAGAGTATGCTCCTACAAGTGAAATTAATGGGCTACAGAATATGATTTGCATGCCCCTAACGATTTTTCGTTTAAAAATACATACCTGGTGTATAGTGGTATTAAATATGTCCCTTATTACCAGTTTTGAAATTTCATGTTACAGCCAGGAGTGGTTGCTCACGGCTGTAATCCTAGCACTTTGGGAGGCTGAGGCAGGTAGATCTCCTGAGGCCAGGAGTTCGAGACCTGCCTGGCCAACATAGTGAAACCCCGTCTATACTAAAAATACAAAAAATTAGCTGGGCATCGTGGCGGGCACCTGTAATCCCAATTGTTAGGGAGGCTGAGGCAGGAGAATCGCTTGAACGCAGGAGGCAAAGGTTGTAGTGAGCTGAGATTGAGCCCTTGTACTCCAGCCTGGGCAACAAGTGAAACTCGATCTCAAAAAAAAAAAAAAAAAAATTCTTATTACTTCTAAAACCCCTTGTAGGTAGGAGTGTGTGTATGTATATATGTGAATGTATGTGTGAGTTTGTATGGGCATTTTTAATGTACAGAAATATATTGTCATAATGTTTTTTAGAAAGCTCTTAGTAATTTATACTGTTATGAGCTGTATATTAGTCTTTAATTGTAACCTTGCCACTTAAATGTGCTCAAATTGTTTTAAAATAGCTGTTTAGCTCAGTTCCAGTTTTTCCTACTTAAGTAATTGTTGTATATGTATCTTGGAATACTTATTTCTTTAGGAATATAACTGGATCATAGAGATCCTGTCATCCTAAGAATTGTGTTCCTATTTACTCAAACTCTGTAAGCTAGTCTTCAGAAAAACTGTACATAAAGAGACATATGAATTGGCTCTGCATTTATATGCTGATTTTATTTGTAATAGAGAATAATAGATGCAGAGTTATAAAATCTTGGCTATTTATATACCAGCTATCCTCTCATGAAGTCCCTTGTATGAAATTCAAGGTTTAGACAAAATGATTAGGTCTTTTCTATTTCTAAAATTTTTTCTTTAATGTTGTAGGAAACAAAAATGTAAAACTAGGGCAAATGTAAATTGAAAATAGAGAAGCACCATTTTTTTCAATGTCAAGGCAATAGATGCCCTTAAGTTTCAATACATTCCTTTAACTATGTATTCAAGTGACAAGTCTACAAAATAGGAAATTCTGAGGCATCAGTATTTGTGTGGGAAAGAGCTGTTTTTTTTTTTTTCCCAGATATGTTCAAAAATAATTTTTTGATTGGAGGCCTTTTTCCCTTCATAAGATGGAATTACCAGTTCTTCTAGTGATTTTCTTTCTCATTGATTATATTTTTACCCATTTGTTAAAACTGGTCCGTTACTGTGATGACAGCTAGATGATAGAATTCCAGAATGTACTCTTTAATTAAAGTTTGGTTTTTTTTTTTTTTTTTTAAAAACTAAAGAGTGTTATAGAGACAGGTAAAATCTGAATAGGGATATTTTAAACTAAGGGATATTACAGAGTCGGGTAACATCTGAATAGCCCCTCGAAACCATTAGGAATGGATCAGAACCGAAAAATCCTTTTTAAAGTTTTAGTGGTAAAGAAGTGTTCCCAAGCTCTGGTTATATTGTGTACTTCCTGTGCAAGGAAGTTAATTTTTTTTCCTATGGAAGGGCAGTTTTTATATATGGAAGTTGAAAATTCAGGAGAAACTAGAAAGGAAAAAAATTTATGAGAGACCAAAGTAGTGGAAATTAGAAGTGGTAACCTGAAAACTTGCAAAATGAAGATAGGTTATGGTATTAGTAGTACCATGAGAGGCCTGCAGAACAGGAACTAGTGCAGCAAACTGGAGACTTCCTACTGAGTACTAAAGAAGCTTAGCCTGGAAGAGAAAAGATGTCCTCTAGCATTAATAGTTATCACACCTCAGTACTGTGCTGTGCTGAACCTTTGCAGTGGTAGAGCAATTTGACGTTGGATTGGGTGTACCTCATTTTATAGTGCTTTTGTTTTATTGTACTTCACAGATAATTGGCATTTGACACAAATTTTAAGTCTTTTGGTGCCACCCTTCCAACAGCACGTGGTCACTTTTTGTCTCTGTGTCACATTTTGGTAACTCTCTCAATATTTCAGACCTTTGTATTATTGTTGTATCTTATGGTGATCTGTGATCAGTGATCTTTGATGTTACTATTGTAATTGTTTTGGGTGCCACAAACTGTGCCCATATGAGAGTGAACCTAATCTATAAATGTGCGTGTTCTAAGTCTCCCTCTCCTTGGACCTCCCTATTCCTTGAGACACAGCAGTATTTAAATTAGGTCAATTAATAACCTTTTAATGGTTGCTAAGTGTTTAAGTTAAAGGAAGAACCTCACTTCTCTTGCTTTAAATCAAAAGCTAGAACTGATTAGGCTTAGTGAGGAATGCATGCTGAAAAACCTAGAAAGGCTGAGAGCTAGGCCTTTTGCACCAAACAGTCAAATTGTGAATGCAAAGGAAAAGTTCTTGAAGGAAATTAAAAGTGCTACTCCAGTGAACACAGGAATGATACAGCGAAATAGCCATTTTTTTTTTTTTTTTTTTTTGAGGCAGGGTCTTACTCTCTCACTCAGGCTGGAGTGCAGTGGCTTGAACTTGGCTCAGTGTAGCCTCTGCCTTACAGGCTCAAGAGATCCTCCCAGCTCAGCCTCCCAAGTAGCTAGGACCTTAAGAATGTGCCACCATGCCTGGCTAATTTTTAAAAAATATTCTTTGTAGAGACAGGGTTTCACAATGTTACCTAGGCTGATCTCAAACTGCTTAAGGGATCCACCTGCCTCAGACTCCCAAAGTGCTGGGATTATAAGTGTGAACCATTGTGCCCGGCCACAAAACAGCCTTATTGCTGACGTGGAGAAAGTTTGAGTGGTCTGGATAGAGCATCACACCAGCCACAACATTCCCTTAAGCCAAAGCCTTATCTAGAGTTAGACCCAAACTGTGTTTCAGTTTTATGAGAACTCAGAGAGATAAGGAAACAAGAAAAGTTTAAAGCTAGTAAAGGTTGGTTCATGAGGTTTAAGGAAATAAACCATCTCCATATCATAAATGTGCAAGATGAAATTACAAGTGCGGACATAGAAGCTGCAGCAAGTTCTCCAGAAGATCTAAGATAATTGATGTAGGTAGCTACATGAGACAATGGATTTTCAGTGTAGATAAAACAGCCGGCTGGCTCTCTTGTTAGGGGTTAATGTAGTTAGTGACTATAAGTTGAAGCCAGTGCTCATTTACCATTCTGAAAATCCTTAAGAATGGTAATAATGGTAATAATTCTTAGAGTCCTTAAGAATTATAAATGTACTCTGCCTGTTTTTTATCAGTGGAACAACAAAGCCCAGATGACAGCAGTTAGGTTTACAGTGTGGTTTACTGAATAGTTTAAACTCAGTGTTGAGATCTTCTGCTCAGCAGAAATGATTCCTTTTAAAATACTACTGCCCAATACACCTGGTCATCTAAGAGCTCTCATGGAGATGTACAAAGAGATGAATGTTATTTTCATACCTGCTTCCACCACAGTGTTCATTCTGCAGCCTGTGGATCAAGTAGTAATTTCGACTTTTAAGTCTTGTTATTTAAGAAATACATTTTGTAAGGCTGTAGCTGCCATAGATAGTGATTCCTCTGATGGATCTAGGGAAGGTCAATTAAAAAGCTTCTGGAAAGGATTCAGCATTCTCAGTGCCCTTACAAACGTTTGTAATTCATGGGAGGTGGTCAAAACAGCATTATTATTATCATTATTATTTATTTTGAGATGAAGTCTCACTCTGTTGCCTATGCTGAAGTGCAGTGGCATGATCTCGGTTCACTGCAACCTTCACCTCCTGGGTTCAAGCGATTCTCCTGTCTCAGCCTCCCGAGTAGCTGGGACTACAGGCACACACCACCATGCCCAGCTAATTTTTGTTTTTTTAGTAGAGGCAAGGTTTCACTATATTGGACAGACTGGTCTTGAACTCCTGACCTCTTGATCCTCCTGCTTTGGCCTCCCAAAGTGCTAGGATTACAGGCATGAGCCACTGCTCCTGGCCAAAACAGCAGTATTAACATGAGTTTGGAAGAAGTTGATTTCAAGCCTCATGAATGATGGTGAAGAATTCAAGACTTTAGTGGAGGAAGTAATTGTAGATGTAGTGAAAACAGCATGAGAACTAGAATTAGAAGTAGAACCTGAATGAGGCCGGGAATGGAGGTTTATGCCTATAATCTGAGCACTTTGGGAGACTGAGGCCAGGCATGGAGCTCGTGCCTATAATTCCAGCACTTTGGGAGAATGAGACAAATCGATCACTTGAGGCCAGGAGTTCGAGACCAGCCTGGCCAACATGGTAAATCCCTGTCTTTACTAAAAATATAAAAATTAGCCAGGTGTGGTGGCGCACACCTGTAATCCCAGCTGCTTGGGAGGCTGAGGTACAAGAGTTGCTTGATTCCAGGAGGTAGAGGTTGCAGTGGGACAAGATTACACCGCCACACTCCAACCTGGGCTACAGAGCGAGACTGTCTCCAATTAAAAAAAAAAAGAGCCTAAGATGAGCTTGAATTGCTCCAATCTCGTGATAAAACTTGTACAGTTGAAGAGTTGCTTTTTATGGTTGAGCAAATAGAGTGGTTTCTTGAGATGAATCTGTTCCTGGTGAAGATAGTGTGAACATTGTTGAAATGACAACAAAGGATTTAGAGTATTACATAAACTTAGTTGATAAAACAGTGGCAGAGTTTGAGAAGATTGACTCTGATTTTGAAAGAAGCTCTACTGTGGGTAAACTGCTGTCAAACAGCAGAAGAGTTCATTGATGGGGTAAACATCATTGTCTTATTTTAAGAATTTGCCACAGCCAACCGACAGCCACCATTGTGATAATCAGCAGCTGTCAACATTGAGGCAGGGCCCTCCACCAGCAGAAAGATTACAACTTGCTGAAAGCTCAGATGATTAGTATTTTTTAGCCATAAAGCATTTTTAAATTAAGATATATAGGTTTTTAAAAGATATAATACTATTGCATACTTAATAGACTGCATTATAGTGTAAACATAGCATTTCTTGTTAAACCAAAACAAATTCCTGTGTCTTGCTTTATTGCAGTATTAGCTTTATTGCAGTGATCTGGAACTGAACCAGAAATATTTCTGAGCTATGCCTGTATAAATTGGCTTAATTCCATCATTTCTGTTTACTTCCTGTGAGATTATGTGTTATATTTAAAGGCCATGAAGCTAAACATACATATGGAAAAGCTGTTCTTAAAAACCTGTTTTAGAAATAATTATAAACTTTATTAGACTTGTGTTACATTTGTCAAAGGTTCTAGTTAGGATTTTTATTATTATTATTATTATTATTATTATTGAGATAGAGTCTCACTCTGTTGCCCAGGCTAGAGTGTGATGGTGCTGTCTTGGCTTACGGCAACCTCTGCCTACTGGGTTCAGGCGATTCTCCTGCCTCAGCCTCCTGAGTAGCTGGGATTACAGGTGCCCACCACCATGTCTGGCTAATTTTTTTGTATTTTTAGTAGAGATGGGGTTTCACCATGTTGGCCAGGCTGGTCTCGAACTCCTGACCTCATTATCCTCCTGCCTCCACCTACCAAAGTGCTGGGATTATAGGCGTGAGCCACCTTGCCTGGCTTATTATTCTTCAATGTTGATACATATGTTCCTTGCCTAAAGTAATATTCTGTAAATACATGAATACTTTCTGCTGAATAGTGACATTTTAAATGCTTTCTATATGCTAGTTATTATGCTTTATTATGTGTCTTACCTCATTTAATGTTTACCATTAGTATGAGGTTGATACCATCTCAAGCACTCTGAAGAGTAAGGCACAGTTTAAGTAGCTCCCCAATCTTGTAAATAAATGATGGAGCTGGAATGTGAACTTTTTTTAAAAAAAATTAATTAAAAAAAAATTGACAAACGTGTATATTTGTATATATTGTGTGCAACATGTTTTGAAGTAGATACATATTGTGGAGTGGCTAGATTGAGCTATGCGTTATCTGACATACCATTTGTTTGTGGTGAGAACACTTAAAATCTAATATTAACAATTTTTAAGAACATGGTGCATTGTTACTGTGACATCCTTACTCCAGAACTTGTGCTGTGTACCTCTCTAGTGCATTGCTGTTCTATTAACATCTTAAACTTGTACAAAATGGAAAGTTAATATTTCTCTGATACAAATTTTCATATGTATAAACAAACACTTGTTTTATTACTCTTTCTTGTGCATTTTGTTTTTAAGATTCTTGGATCTCCCAATCAGCTTCATTTCCCCGTAATCAGAAACAACCAGGAGTGGATTCTTTATCACCAGTGGCCTCACTTCCTAAACAGATTTTCCAGCCTTCTGCTCAACAGCAACCTACTAAACCAGTTAAAGTCACTTGTGCAAACTGCAAAAAGCCTTTACAGAAGGGCCAGACAGCTTATCAACGAAAAGGATCAGCTCACCTCTTTTGTTCGACCACCTGCCTTTCTTCCTTCTCTCACAAGCCTGCTCCAAAGAAACTCTGTGTTATGTGTAAAAAGTAAGGTTTACCTTTCAACATAATTCTGTATAGTCGAATTTTGGTGTTATAAAATTTTAAGAAAAGTGAAACTCAGATTTGTAATACATTTGGAAACTTCCCTTATCAAGTCCAGGTGACACATGGATAAAAGGCTTCCTGTTTGGATAGGCATTGATGATAGGTCCTTATAATTAATTTTGTCTGTAATTGGATGCCTTGATTTTGTAACAATACATACTTATTTACATGATTAATGAGAGAATTTTGTTCTTCTGGCCAAATAAAAATGCTAAGCAGTTTATGTGTGACTCTGTATTAACATTGATTAAATTTTACACTATCTTCAGATCAAGATTATAAAATTGGCAAGTCTTTGGATTTTACATGTATTTGTTTTGAACATTAATTCATTGGAAATAGTATTTCAAGACTCAGGTACCAGTTTTTAGCTAGCCTTAGAAAGACAGGTTCCTCTCTTCTGTTTTTTCTTTTCTTTTTTTTTTTCTTTTTTTTAGACAGAATCTTGCTCTGTAGTCCAGGCTGTAGTACAGTGGTGCAAATCTCAACTCACTGCAGCCTCTGCCTCCTGGGTTTAAGCAATTCTCCTGCCTCAGCTTCCTGAGTAGCAGGGATTACAGGCTTCCGCCACCATGCCTGGCTAATTTTTGTATTTAGTGGAGATGAGGTTTCATCATGTTGGCCAGACTGGTCTTGAACTTCTGACCTCAGGTGCTCCATCCACCTTGGCCTCCCAAAGTGCTGGGATTATAGGCATGAGCCACTGTGCCCAGCCTTCTTTTTCTGTTTTTTTTTGATCTGGCTTCACTGGTTAAAAATAGCTGGAATATGGTATGTTATGTGCAAGGTGAAGCCTTTCTGTACCGTATCTTGGAGCAGTTCAATTCTGTGAAGTTATTTTTAGATCTTGAATTTTAGAAAGGGCTTAATGGTCTGTACATGTTTAATAAACTCAAATACTAAAGCAATTGTAATGCACATTGCTTTGCAGTAGTAAACTTAAATACTGCAGTGTAGAATCTTGAATATCAGAATAAAAGGTAAACTTGAAAAGTCAACATATTATCATTTTCTAACATTTCTATTTACAGTTGGAAAGCCATGTTAATAGTGGGGGAAGTTATTTGGGGATGGGGTGGGTGGGTATATTTAAGTTTAGTTAATTCCTCTAGAATGTATGCCATAGTCCTATGACCCGGATACCTCATGCTTTCTACTTATCCAGGGGAGGGAATTGAACAGGTTATACCTCAGTATACTAGTCCTTAACATTAATTCCATGTAACTAATAACTTTTCTTAGTTTTCCCAATATTTGAAATCCTTTTTAGTGAATTTAAAAACAAATTGGGTAGTGACAAGGATTTAATAGTATAAAATAGTTTTGCTTCTCAGTCTTTATTTTTAAGAGTTCTTATTTTATTATCAAGAATGTCTAAATAGTAAAAATGATTTATTGGATCCAAGAATGATGTTTGATTTGCATGATTTAGCCTGTAGAAATAAAAACTGTCACTTATTACTATTATATTTGATTTCTTTTAAAATGGAATTTTAATTTGTATCTCTGATTTTTCAGAGATATAACTACAATGAAAGGAACCATTGTTGCTCAAGTGGATTCAAGTGAGTCCTTCCAGGAATTCTGTAGTACATCTTGTTTATCTCTCTATGAAGACAAACAGAATCCTACTAAAGGAGCTCTAAATAAATCAAGATGTACAATCTGTGGTAAACTAACAGAGGTTTGTATTTTTACACTTTATCATTTAGTTCTAATAAATAGGATTTTTTTTTTTTTTTTTTTAGATGGAGTCTTGCTCTGTTGCCAGGCTGGAGTGGAGTGGTGGCTCAATCTTGGCTTACTGTGACCTCCGCCTCCCAAGTTCAAGCGATTCTCCTTCCTCAGCCTCCCGAGTAGCTGGGATTACAGGCACGTGTCACCACACCCAGCTAATTTTTGTATTTTTAGTAGAGACAGGGTTTTGCCATGTTGGCCAGGATGTTCTTGATCTCCTGGCCTCATGATTCACCTGCCTTGGCCTCTCAAAGTGCTGGGATTACAGGTGTGAGTCACTGCGCCTGGCCCAAATAGGAATATTTTAAATTTCATTTAAGTGCTATTAGATAGCCTTTTATCAGTATATAGTTCCGTAAAAATGAATATATATAAAAACGATCTTATAAATATCCTATTATTTAACCTGATTCTCCCACAGGATCTTATCTTACAACAACTATCTTTTTACGTAATCTGATTCTCCCATAGGATGATTTAGGAAAAATAGCTGTATAAATTGCCTTTTTTTTGCCTGAGGTTGGGAGCACTTACAGATAAAACCATAGTGTTGGGATTGATTTTTGTCTTTTAAATATGTTTATGTAGGCAGACTACACAAGAAATACTGCAAGTAATTTTGCTGAGAAGTAGAACAATCGGAGGGAATATTTTTTGGTATCTTCACGTTATTAATATTGTATTAAATACAAAGTATATATACCTCATTTGAATTATTTATGATGTTTCTCCCCTCCTCATTTTTCTAGAGAATTGTACTTTATTTATAGTTTTTAAAAATTAGTCTAAAAATTTTCAGTCTATGAAGTTTAATATCACCACTACCGAAACTTGGTTTTCTATCATCTTTTGATGCCTCTAGAGAAGTTTGTAGTGATGTCACTGATGGTTTTTTTTTTTTTTTTTTTCATTTTTCAGTGCCATACATATGTTCCTGTGTGTATAAAAACAATTTAAAAAATTATGAGATGGGGCCAGGCTTGGTAGCTCACACCTATATAATCCTAGCACTTTGGAAAGCCAAGGTGGGAGGATCACTTGAGGCTAGGAGTTTGAGATCAGCCTGGGAAACATAGTGGGACCCTGTCTCTACCTAAAAGAAAAAAAATTAGGCATGGTTGTGTGTGCCTGTAGCCTCAGCTACTTGGGAGGCTGAGGTGGGAGGATCGCTTGAGCTCAGGAGATTGAGGCTACAGTTTGCTTTGATCATGCCGCTGTACTTTAACTTGGGTGATAAGTGAGACCCTATCTCTTTAAAAACAAAAGTGCATTGTTTTTTCTTTTCTCCAAACAAGGCTTGTTGAGACATCTTTGTTTCTATTCAGAATGCTTTATTATGTAGCTACTTATCAGATTGATCTGTTTTGTTAAGATTTTGTTTATTTTTCTTTTAGATTCGCCATGAAGTCAGCTTTAAAAATATGACTCATAAGCTGTGCAGTGACCACTGCTTTAATAGATATAGAATGGCCAATGGTTTAATAATGAATTGCTGTGAACAGTGTGGAGAGTACTTGCCCAGTAAAGGTGCTGGAAATAATGTTCTGGTGATTGATGGCCAACAGAAAAGATTTTGCTGTCAAAGTTGTGTCAGTGAATACAAACAGGTAATTGTTCTAATAAAAATTGGGCATTCTTTAGAATGTCCTTGAAAGTGCTGTAATAGTTTTACTCTAACAGTGTTTATTAACCGGATTTGTCTTAGAATTTCATTTAATTTTATTATTATTGTTATATCATGGAGCATGCTGAATGCATATTGCTTTGTACCATTAAAGCTGAACCAGGGACCATCTGTATTTCAGTATTCATTTGAGGTAGGCCATCTCCACGATATAATGATGGAGTTAAGTCTGGATAAACCCATTGTAGGTTGGAAATGTGTTAAAATGTACTTTTGACCTAGATATTTTCAACTTAGAATGGGTTTATCAGGATATAACTCCATTTTTAAGTCAAGGAACATCTGTATATGTAGATTATTGGTGGTAGATTTAGGTTTTACATATAATGGTAAATGCTATCAGACTTATTTATCTTTTGAATTTATTTCTTTTTGGGAGTTGGAGAGGGGCTGCAGATATTATTTTTCAAACTTTTAAAGCTCAGCTTTGAAGTGGTCATACTGTTTATATTTAAATTTTAAGATTAATGTTATTTTATTTTATTTTTTGATACCAAATTTCGCTCTTGTTGCCCAAGCTGGACTGCAGTGATGCAATCCTGGCTCACTTCAACCTCTGCCTCTTGAGTTCAAGCAATTCTCCTCCTTTAGCCTCCCGAGTAGCTGGGATTATAGGCGTGTGCCACCATGCCTGGCTAATTTTTGTACTTTTAGTAGAAACGGGGTTTCACCATATTAGCCAGGCTGGTCTCAAACTCCTGACCGCAGGTGATCTGCCCGCCTCTGCCTCCCAGAGTGCTGGGATTACAGCTGTCATCCGCTGTGCCCAGCCAGGTTAATGTTATTTTAAGGACCTTTTGATTTCTAGTTTTATTCCATTGCTCATTGGAAAAATACTCTGTGATTTCAATCTTCATAAATTTATTTATTGTTTTATCAGAAATGATGGTTGCTTTAAATATCTTTTTGGTATCTGTGGGAAAGGTTTTATGAACTTTCTCCCTCTTGATTTTTTTTTTTCTTTTTGAGACAAGTCTCGCTCTGTTGCCCAGGCTAGAGTGCAGTGGCATGATCCCAGCTCACTGAAACTTCCACCTCCTGGATTCAAGCGATTTTCCTGCCTCAGGCAGCTGGGATTATAGGTGTGCACCACCATACCGAGCTAAGTTTTGTATTTTTACTAGAGAGGGGGTTTCACCATGTTGGCCAGGCTGGTCTCGCACTCCTGAGTTCAAGTGATCTATCTGCCTGCCTCAGCCTCCCAAAGTGCTGGGATTATAGGCATGAGCTACCACCCCCGGCCTTAGACTTATTAATGTGTGAATTATATAGTAGTTCTTCCTTAGGCAAGGTTTTGTTTTTTGTAGTTTTAATTACTCATTGTCAGCTGCAGTTCCCAAATAGGTGACTAGACTACAATAAGATAATTTGAGAGAGTAATTAATTATAGGTGAGTAGACTACAATAAGATTATTTGAGAGAGATTAATTATAACTCACTATAATTATTGTTGAGTTTAGTTTAGTTTTATTTTGTTTTGAAACAGGGTCCTGCTCAGCTCACTGCAGTCTCCTTCTCCTGGGTTCAAACGATTTTCCTGCTTCAGCTTCCCAAGTAGCTGGGATTACGGGCAAATGCCACCATGCCTGACTAATTTTTGTATTTTTAGTAGAGATGGGGTTTCACCATGTTGGCCAGGCTAGTCTCAAACTCCTGACCTCAAGTGATTTGCCTCCCTTGGCCTTCCAAAGTGCTGGGATTGCAGGTATAAGCCACCGTGCCTGGCCAATTGTTAATCTCTTATTGTGGCTAATTAGAAATTAAACTTTATCACAGGTGTGTGTCTGTAGGAAAAGACATAGTATACATAGAGTTCAGTACTATCAAAGATTTCAGGCATCCACTGGGAGCCTCGGAATATATCTCTTAAGGATAAGAGGTGGCACTGCCATATTAGTAGGTTTCCTAATTCATTGAACCATCCATGTATTCCTAGAATAAACTATGCCAGATAATTATTTTTTTAAAAATGTGCACACATGCTCATGGCTAACACTTTATTTGATACTTTGCATTGATGTTTATATGTGAGATTGGTTTGTAATGTCCTTCTTTTGTGCATTCTTTAAGGTATCACTGTGATATTTGCTTTATAAAAATATTCAGAGGAAAATTCATTTGCTTATATACTTAAAGCAATAAACATGAAAATAAATGAGTCAACTGAAATAGCTGGAAAAAGAAAAAAAAACTGAAGCAAAAGAGAAGAAAGGAAATAAAGATAAAAGGAAATACTAATTAGGAATTTAAAATAGTATCAAAATTGTTCAGAATGTTGCCTCTTTGAAAAATCAGGTCTTCCTATAACCAAGAAAAAAAGACCCAATTATTAATTCAATCAGGAAAAGAAGTTTAAAAACAGAAATACATAAAATGAGAAATGACAAGGTAGACATGAGCATCAAAACAAAAGAACTTGACAAAGATCAATCATAAATTAGTTCATATGGCTTTTAGTATGTTGTTGAAGTAGTTTCTTTATATTTTTAAATTCAGTATTCCTGAAATAAAAAGTGTTTCAAGAAAATGCTATGAATACAATAGCACATCAACAAATTACATAGCCTAGATGAAATGCACGAATTCCTAAAAACACACAAACCACCAAAACTGACACAAGAATATGTGGAAAATGATCATGCTGTATAATCCTTTTAATATATTGAATTCAGTTTAGTAGTACTTTGTTGAGGATCTTTGCATCTATGTTCTTATGGGATACTGGTCTCTAATATTCTTTCTTTTGATATCTTTATCTGTCTTTGGAATGAGGGTAATGCTGCCCTCATAGAATGGGGTAAGACATTTTGTATCTTCTGATTTTTGGAAGAATGAGAATTAGTATTAATTCTTCAAATGTTTGGGTAGAATTCACTAGTGAAGTCATCTGATCTTGGGCTTTTCTTTATTGGGACATTTTTGATGACTGTCTCTTGTTCTAGTTCTGTTCACATTTTCTGTGTCTTTTTGTGTTAGTTTTGGTGGTTTGTGTGTTTTTAGGAATTTGTGCATTTCATCTAGGCTATGTAATTTGTTGATGTGCTATTGTATTCATAGCATTTCCTTGAAACACTTTTTATTTCAGGAATGCCAGTAATAATGTTGCCCTTCCGTAGTTTATTCTTTGTGTTAATTCTCTTAATATTTTAAAATGACCGACTTCTGGGTTTGTTTCTCTCATTTTTTTCTGTTCTGTTTTTCTGCTCTAATTTTTATTGTTTCCTTTCTTCTGCTGGCTTTGAGTTTAGTGATCTCATCTATTTCCTCAAGGTGGTGTGAAGTTAGGTTATTTACTTGAGATCTTTCTTTTTTGTTTGTTTGTTTTTTGTTTTTGAGATGGAGTCTTAGTCTATCACCCAGGCTAGAGTGCAGTGGCATGATCTTGGCTCACTGCAGCCTTGTCTCCCAGGTTCAACCAGTTCTCCTGTCTCTGCCAGCCAAGTGGCTGGGATTACAGGCATGTGCCACCACACCCAGCTAATTTTTGTATTTTTAGTAGAGACGGGCTGGTCTCGAACTCCTGACCTCACGTGATCTGCCTGCCTCAGCCTCCCAGAGTGCTGGGATTATAGGTATGAGCCACTGTCTCTGGCCAGCGGGCCAGTGGACCTCCCTTCCTTCCTTCCCTTCCTCCCCTTCCTCCACTTCTTCCTCCCTTTCCTCTCCTTCCTCCTCTCCCCTCCCCTCCCATTCTCTCTCTTTCTCTCTTTCCTTCTTTCTTTCTTTGGCATTTATAGTTCCAAATTTTTCTCTGATCACTATTTAAGTTGAATCTCATAATTTTGGTATTCCTTTAGTTTTGTTTTTACTCATCTCTTTAAGTATTTAAAAGATTTCTTCTTTGAGCCATGTTTAAGAGTATGTAGTTTATATCCCCATATTTGTGAATTTTCTAAGTGCTAATTTTCTATTACCGATTTCTAGTTTTATTTCATTGCCCATTGGAAAGATACTCTGTGATTTCAGTCTTTACAAATTTATTGAGACTTTTTTGTGACCTAACAGAGTCCATTCTGTAGATTGCTCCATGTGTACTTGAGAAGAATATTTATTCTACTGTTGTGGGCTAGAATATTCAAGATATGTTTGTTACTAATGACTCTAGTTGATTTATAGTGTTGTTTCCATCTAGATGGCGTATCCACTATTGTAAATGGTGTATTGATGTCTCCAACTATTATTGTACAATTATCTGCTTCTACCTCAGTTATTATCTATTTCTCCTTTTACTTCTGTTAATTTTTTTAGTGTATTTTGGGGGCTTTGATATTTGGTATGTATATGTTTATATTTGCTATATCTTCTTAGTAAATAGACCCTTTGTTCTGTATGTATTCTTTTTCTCTCTCATATCATTTTTTCACATAAAGGCTCTTTTTGTATTATATTAATATGGCAACCCCAGCTCTCTTACTGTTTAGTTGTGGGGAATATCTTTTTCCATCCTTTTACTTTTGACCTGTTTGTATCTTGGGATAAATAAATCCTTTCTTATCAGTAATCACATTAAATATACATGGATTAAGTTACCTTATCAAAAGGCAGAAATTGGCAGAATAGGAAAAGAATGATGCCTTTTGATTGGATAATTTGATCCATGTACATTTAATGTAATTACTGTTAAGGAAGGATTTATTTCTACCAGTTTTCTATTAGGTGTGTTCTATACCTTTTTTTTTGGTATCTCATTTCCTGCATTACTGCCTTTTATATTTAGTTGATTGTAGCGAACTGTTTTGATTTCCTTCTCATTGTCTTCCTTGTATTATTTTTAAATATATTCTTTGTGGTTACTGTGGGGGAGGCTTTACATTTAACATCCTGCAATGCAATTTAATGTGAATTTATAACGAATTAATTAGCTTTTAAAAATGCTGCTCCTATGTATCTGTTTCCTCTTTTTATCATAAATTACATCTTTAA